AAAATTCCTATGGGGTATTCAGATGACCATAAGGGCATCAATTTGATTGAGTGGAAGGATCCTTTGTCAACCAATAACTCATGGTGGCTGTCGCATTATCTCCCTTGAAGCTCAGAACAAGGCTTTCCTCTCAAGCTTGCTTTCAAGATAGTATCTCAGACTGACATCCTCTGGGTGAAAGTTCTTGAGAAAAATACCTCAAACATCCTATCGCACAGGATATTAGCAGGAGTAAATGCTCCTACTTCTAGCGACACATCTCAAAAATTTGGGAGGACACAATGTTGAATGTTAATTGGAACCCGTGTAATGCGAGAACCATCAGATTTTGGTCGGACTTTTGGATAGGTGATTCTGGACCCCCTCAAGCATCTATCCTTGCTCCACTTTCAGAGGTTGATCTTCAACAGACTTATCTACGATTTCAACGACCCCTTGCCCAATGGAAATGGAATTGTTTGAACATCTGCTGCCACCTAATACTTTAGATAAGGAATATGTCCATCAACCCTACTGATTCCAAAACCTTACTGCAAATGGGGAATTCACCGTCAAGTCCGCCTATAGAGCTAGCAAACTCAACGATTCGAATCAAAACAAATAAGACCCTGGTCAGGATTTGGAAGCTCCCCATGGCTCAAAGAGTTAGAACTTCATCTGGCTCATGCTCAAGGGTAAGCTTCTTACTAATTCCGAAAGGTAAGAAAGACGGATTGTTCTCAGGACCAAAGCTGCTCACTCTGTTACACCTGTTGAAACATTACTCATGTCCTTAGAGATTTTTTGTTTGCTGCCTCGGTTTGGAACACAATTCTTCTAGCTGATGGGCATCGAATTCTATTGAAAGGAGTATATTGCCTCGTGGTTCATTGATTGCCTTCGCAAACCCTCACCTTGACGTCTCTTGCAAGATAGTCTGAAACCGAAGGCTGTTTACTGATGACACTTTCACTATGACTCTGTTCTTTCTTAGATTAGGGCTTTTGTTAAAAAATACTTTGAAATCTTTTTCCATTCTTAGAACACTGAAGTAATTTCTTAGGTCTCTGATGTAATTTGCTCTCTCGTCCTGTCAGGTCTTTTTGGGTTAATGATATTTCTCTCTTTATTCAAAAAAAAAAAATTGCGCATAATATTATAGTCAGAGCAATTCGGAAAGACCATAATATTTTGCTTTGTTTGGGACCGACGCTTGTTGGTGACGCCACACCGATAACAAACTCGTAGTATATGTTTTCTGTGGCTTACCCAGTCCACCTGGTTACCAACTCTCAGAATTCGGCCTACTCCTGAATTACCCACAAATTCTGAACTAAGAGTGAAAACGTTGAAAAAAATAATTTTCGTTGCCCTCCATATTTTTGGAAGTGGTAGAATTTAGTCAAAGATTTTCTTGACCTTGTTGATTCCCAACACTCCATCTTGCCCGATAGCGGAGGCTGTTCGACTCATTTCACATTCACATAGTCCTATCATAGGATTGTTCAGCATAAAAATATGCAAATATCTACTAAAAATAGTTTTCTCTTAAAAAACTTATTTAATCTCAAATCAAGAGGACGATATAAAAATGTTGGGGAAAAAGAAGCGGTTTGTGAAATTGGTGCGTTGTTGTGTGACTGGAAATAAGAGGAACGGCGGAGGAGGAAATGAGGCTCTGGCAGAGACTCGCCGGAGCCCTAAAAGACAGGAACAGCGTATGGGTGGCTCAGCTGTCTCGCCGCACCTCCTTCCGCAACCCCGATCTGGAAGCCGCCATCATCAAAGCCACCAGCCACGATCAACATCGCATCGATTGCAAGAACGTCCAGCGCGTGTTCCAATGGATTCGCACCTCTCCTCTATACCTCAGGCCCCTCGTCTGGGCTCTCGCCATGCGAATGCAAAAGACTCGAAGTTGGGTCGTCGCTCTCAAGGGCTTGATGCTCATGCACGGCATTTATTGTTGTAATATTGCCGTTATTCAAAACATGGGTCGATTGCCCTTCGATCTGTCCAATTTCAGCGATGAGCATGCCAACCCGGACAGGGCTCGGTCTCACAACGCGTTTGTACGTTCGTATTTTGCGTATCTGGACCAGAAATCCGCCTTTATATCCATGGAATTTCAGAGACAGAGCAAACAGGGCAAAAAAAACAGAGGACACGTTGATGGAAGAATTGGAGAAATTGCAGGCGATGCAAGATTTGATTGACATGCTGCTTAAGATTAAACCAGAGTACTTGAATTTGCAGAAGGCTCTTATTCTAGAAGCTATGGATTGCGTTATCGTGGAGCTTTTCGACGTGTATAGTAAATTCTGCAAAGGGATTGCCCGAGCTCTGTTGAGGATATATGATATTGGCGGGAAGACGGAGGCTAGCGTTGGGCTTAAGGTTCTCCGGAAAGCAGCAATCCAAAGCGGCCAGCTTTCTGCATACTTTGATTTCTGCAGGGAAATTGGCGTGCTCAACGCTTCTCAATGCCCCAAAATGGAGCGATTCCCTGAAGGGTATATCCAAGATCTGGAGAGAATCATCAACGGGGCCGATGAGAAGGAAAGCTTGAAGAGTGACAAGGATGAAGGCAAGGCCATGGTGTTCAATGTGAATGCCATTGCCTGCAAGGATGAACGCAAGGGATCAGATGGTATGAAGACGGTGATCACAAAAAAGTGGGAGGTTTTTGATGATGAAATGGTGCTCCATGATGGAGCAAAAGCCACTTTCTCAACCAACCCTTTTGAAGAATCATATTGCATCGTTCCCTACCAAGCAGTTCATAAGCAGGTTCTTCCGGATTTAATTAGTTTTTAAGTGTACCATGTCTATGCGATCCATGTTTCATATGCTCAAGAGGAGGTACAGAAAAGCGTAGACAGAAAGGTTCCAAGATCTGACTTGCAATTTCATGTCTGTAGCAGAGTATCGGGAGTCTTTTCATCTGCTCTTGTTTTCTCCGTCGGTGTTAGGGATGTTCCCGACATGGAATTTCCGTCGTGACTGTTTGAGTTAAACGATGATTAGAGATATAATCAATATTTTTTTTTTTTGTCTCCTCCCAGTACATTGGCCCTTTTTATTTCAAAACTTGGAAGATATGTCTCCGGCATAATGCGATGAATTACAGTTCAAGAGATTGATGTTCACTTTGGTCTTGAAATTGAGGAGATAATGCGTTGTTAATTACAAGCACATGCATTCCTCTTCCCGTGCTCTTTGCTTTTCCTCCTCCTTATTACAGACTTAACCAGCAAATAGCAAAACCATACAAGGACGGATGAGAATGCAGTCATCCTAATTCGGCTTTACTTTTCTTTCTACTAAGGGGAAAAAAAAATTGGTGGAGGATAACACAAGGTCTTCTCAACTAATCTGCAGAAATAACGAAAAGTAGGCACGTCAGTTATTTATAATTAATTTTGGCAAAAAAAAAAGTTATTTATGATTAATATGTAGAGAATTTGTAAATTTGGATCCAGTTCTTGCTCTGTTGTTCTCGTTCTTCTTCTACGCGTAATCAAAATACGATCAACCCGGATCACTAGCAGTTAAATATTGAATTTACATGATACGAATCAACTATATATGTATAATTCTTCTATAAAATTCAAAAGTGTTTTTTTTTAAGTTAACAATTCAATAATAATTTTAAAAGTAAAATATAATGATCTCCCTTTTATTTTTTTAAAATTACTAAGACATCCCCTCTATTTTAAAAACATACTTTTTAAATTGCATGTTTGAAATATTATTTTAATTTTTAACCCGTTTATGATTTTTAATGTGTTTTAAATACTAAATAAATATTTTTACAAAATGGAAAATTTAAATATAAATTAAAAAGGTAAAAAAAATATGTGCATTAATTTTTTTATGTAATTTGAATGATTTTTAGACAATATTCATAATTAAAAAGAGGATATTTTGATCCAATATATAATTTAATGATCAACTAACAATTAAATAGATGAAAATTAAATCTTAAAAATAAAAGGATTGCTTGTGTTTTGTAGTTATTTATATAAAGGGAGGTTCATATAAGTTTCAAAAATAGAAAGGAAATATCTATAATTAAAATAAAACAAAGAGAAGGTTTTATTCTAATTTTAATCTTCAAGGACTAATATATTTAATTTATCAAACTATAAGAGGGTAATTAAAACAAAATAAATTACATAAACTTAATTCAAAATCATACAAAACTAGAAGGATCTCTAGCTGCACATTAATTTTCCCAAGCCAAAATGACACAATTTATTAATCGTCCCCAACCCCCCCCCCCCAACAAAATTATAAATATTTAAATTAAAAAAATGAAACCCCTCCAAAAAACTGGAAAAAAAAAAAACCCAAGTGACGACAACTTAGAAGGGAAGAAAAGTTACAACTTACTTTATTTTATGTTTGCACTTAGAAGTGCACTCAACGTCCAGATTGGAATCTCCCATGTCCATCATACACATTCGCTCAAAAGTAAGAAAAATACATAATAATTAAGCCCTTTGTCTTTGGTCAGGGAAAAGAAAAGCGTAAGCTTCGTAGCCTTGATTTTTCATAATTTGTAACCTGTATACGAAAAATTTTAAATTTTTTTCAAGAAAAAAAAACTAATTTCTAATTTCCAATTAAATCCATTCCAACTAAAGTGAAAAATGATCCAATTTTTCTTTATTTATTGCACTACTTACTTTAAAATAGAAAATCGTGTGCTTTCAAATTCCACCCCTTTTAAGACGATCAAAAGACGAATCCCCGACCTGACCCGAGACATAAAAATTATTTGCCAGACAAAACTAAGATATCAAAGACCAAAACACTTGTAGATGACGCCTACAGTTAAGATGTGCTGTTCATTACCAAAGAATATGTCTGACATTATTCAGACCATTATCTTGTATATCAGATTTAGATATACGTAACCAGTGTAGGCATCTCTTTAATTAACACCATCCTTTTATGCATAGGCAGAATCCACCAGAAAATCGTGAAGAGCTAAAAATTTCAATTCATAGTAAAAGTTGAATAGGGTTATGCTGTCTACATCTGTACACACACTATGCCCAACCATTTATAAATAATTGACGGGCTGTCCAAGGGCTATACTTGACCTTTCCCTGTGCCAAAGTAAAATGTAACACAACCAGATTTTCGTTTGATCTTTTAAGTTTTCAGGGGAGGAAAACATTGCTCAATCAGTATTCTTGATCATGCCTCACACTTGAGACCATGTTCCAAATTCAACCATATGAATAGTGTCTTCCCATTGGTATATTAATATTGATATATTGACATATTGATAATTGGTACTCATAATTATCAACCAGACGTTATGCCTGTCATCCAGCTGAATCAACCAATCAAGTCAGACCATTGCATAGTATATACTTTTTTTTTCAAAAAAAAAAAAAAACGGAGGGGACATTGGATCCAATCATGAAGGTACATATAGCAAACAAGTAACTAGCAATTACTCAGATCATTGCATATTAAAAGGTAGATTAAAAAAAAAACATTGCAAAGAAATCGAATTTCCGATGGTGAATCCCCCTTGAGGAATAATAGGAAATGACTGGTATTCTATCAGAGGGGCTGGATTGGTAAGGAGTCAAAGATGGGCTTATCTCTACAATGTCGCCTCTCGTAGGCTTTGAATAGAAATCACGGTACAATTAATGGTCTGCCAGCAACTAACCAATCAAGTAAGCCTCATGAAGCACACACTCAAACAATAACCACACATCATCCACTGATGGCACCATCATAATGATTCATCCAAATACATGAAATGATCGAATTGCTCAACTAAATGATATCCAATTGCTCAATCATGAGACTACACTAATTATGCATATTTTATCCTGTCCATTCTTTACAAAACTCATAATATTATTGCCTATAATGGCCAAATCAAATATCTCAGGTTTCAATCAGAACTGTTTGGCAAGAGCAATTCAAAAAGGAAGATCAATTATTTCCAAATGAAGCAGCCCTGAAATATAAATGCAATTAGAGACCACAGCAGCTAGGCTCAAACAAATTAATGTCCTCCATCTAACACCAAAATATACATGTATACATAAAATGCATCTGCATTATTAGTATTTCCCAAGATAGCCTTGTTGGCATTTTATATAATCAGAGTAGTTCCAAAACCCAGGCAAGTGATCAATAACAGAATCTAGTAATTTCTTTTGCCACGCATAGAATTAAAAGATGACATGAGAGAACGAACCCTATTGAACCAAAGGCTCAAATTACACTAATAACTAATGAAGGTTTAAGCTAGGGAATAGATGGAAAGAAAATTGCTTATCATTAGAAGCAAAAATGAATAAAAGATCATTGCATTGCAACATCTTGACAAAATTAAATTAAAGGGTGAATGAGCATCGTCCCAAAAAAAAAAAAAAAGTCTATCTAGTAGTAACTCATCCACATAAATCCCAGTGCCATACAACACTGGCATCCCTTATCACATAAGCCGAGAGAAGAAAGGAACAAAAGAACCCATGTCCAAATTTAAGGTAGAAGGATGACAAAAGAAAATTCACGGATACTGAAGTACTCAACATCTGTGTGAAAGGTCACACAAGTGTATGTACAACTGAAACAGAACAAATGCCTTGTGTGATGTGTCCAAGCAGCACCTCTTTACCTGATAGTGACAAACTTGTTTGTGCCATGCCTAGCCCAGTGAGTCCTCAGATCAATAGGATTAGCAAAATTATATCCTTCAGCTGCAAGTTTTTCCAAAACCTTCTTAAAAGCACCTTGACTCATTTTCCGTCCAGCTATCCTTGCACCACGCCTTTTAGTGCTCATTGGCAATGGATACATTGACACATTAGTGGTACAACAAGCTGATTGCCAACCACCACAGCCCCATCGATAACACTGCTGTGGAGCCCCAGTACACGAGCAGACAGGAATGGGTAGACCAGAAATGTCCATATCAATTCCGTTTATCACAACCTCCATAGCCTTCCTTGCTGGCTTCTCACGTTGAATCAAAGCATTGCTATTATCCTTTGGCTTCCTTGGTTTTTTTGCTTTTGGAGTCTTTGGGGCACCCCCACTCTGCCTTTTCTTCAATTGGCCACCTTCCTTTTAACAGGAGGGTCTTCAACTTGATTCACCCTATCATCTCTGGATGTTTCGGGTGGCTGTATAATTTGCAATGAAGGAGCTCCTGATGTCTCTGGAAGAACGGAATAATTAGGATTTGTGGGCAACATATTGAGAAACCTGTCTCTCTGGCTGATCCAACTGTCTCTAACATAGTTAATTGGAATTGAGGATTCTGACACAACACATTCCCGGGGATGGAAGCTTCCATGTGGACTAACTAACATGGTAGGATCTCGGCCTGGCATAAATGGCTTGGTGTCTCGTTCAGTCATGCTTGACATGAGCTGCAGACCTAGATGACCCCCTTTGAAGGGTTCATAATAACCCCAATTGCGCATGTTCAGCGCATCATCGTCCATGAGAACTACACAACACATAAAGATTGAAACTTGGTTATTTTTATTTCAGTCCCCATCTTCCAAAATGATGCGAGGCCTTGAAAACTAAAGAGAGAAAATGTCGAAGGACACCAAAAATTAATGGGCCGTACAGAAAGTCGGAGTCGAGCGAAGCATCAAAACACGCGATTGGACTGAGAAAATAACGGGAAACGCAAGATCTACTAAATCCAGTACATCCAATAAGCTCAGATTCACAGATAAAAGGCAAAAACTTCATCCAACCCATATTATAGGAGGGTCAAACCGGTCAAGACGCACCATTGCCCGTCACAAAAGCGAAAGTCCCTCGATTTAATCACCAGAAAGAGGAAAGTTCACGATCTGAAATCCATTAAGATTCCTACATTTTCCTAGCGGCCTAATAGACAACAAACAAAAGGAAAGCGTCGCGCACGGATCGGAAAACCCCATTCAGCGAGAAGCAAACAAGCAAGAAAGGGATCGAAAATCACAGAAGTTTAATAGCAGATTCGAATCATAATGGGAACGAAAAACAAATCTATAAAACAGAAAATATATATATAAGGATCCAGATAAAAGGTCTAACGGTAGAAGGACCCATCTATTCAAATTTTGAAGGAGAGAGAAAGAGGGAGAGAGAGAAAGAGGGAGAGAGAGGAGAGAGAAAACTTACTTGGGTGGGTGTAAACGGCTCTTTAGGGTTTTGCCCTTCTGGAGAGAGGAGAGAGAGACCTGAAAGAGAGAGAGAGAGAGAGAGAGAGAGAGAAAGAGAAAGAGAGAGGAGGGGAGGAGAGAGGAGAGAGAAGGGAGCGAAGAATGTCAAAGAAAGGGGGGAGGAGAGGGATCTGTAGATCAATCTATGTGTTTACGCATTGCCAGATCGCGGATCGAAAAATTAAAATATATATATATATATATATTAAAAAAAAAATTGGGGGAGTGAAGACGGAAGGATATCTATCCATTGGAGAGATGTGGATATATATAGAAAAAAATATTATTTATTATAAAATTAATGACACAGACAAACAAGGGAGGGTCCGACCCCTACCACCTTTTTCCATATACAGACTGTGGAAGGCAAAGTGCCAAAGCATTTTAATATCCCAAACAAAATAAGGCCAATCTCCGCCTCTTTCCAGCCCATCTTGTCTCATCGACTTCCTCTGCTTCCTCCTCCATCCCAATTTTAGTACTCTATCACATTATGCCCACAAAAATATCACTTACGGCATCCCACAGTAATTCACTCAACAAAAATTAACATCGTAGATGCTTTTCTTAATTAATAATCTTGAATGCTGCATTTTCTTGGTAACCTTCCTGATCTTTGAAATCAACGAAAATTGCTTCAGACTATTGCTCTCGTCAGCTGTTTTAAAAAAATTTTATATATCAATAAAACTTATTAAATACAATTTATAATTTTACTTTTTAAGATAAAAATATAAACTTTAAAAAATATCAATCATTTAATACTCAATTGATAAAAAAATATTAAAAAAATATATGAAGAGTTTAATATTGAAAAAAGCATCATTAACGAAATTTTTTTTTATTAAAGTGTCTAATATTTTAGAATATTAAATTTTTTCTAAAAGTATCTTATAATTTGAGACGAAGTGAGTATTAAGGAACATAAATAAAGTTACATAAATTTTAATTTTAATTTAATTTTGTGTTTGGCAGTATAGTTAAAACCTTTAGTTAGGGTTGGCCTCTACGGATCAGGCCTTTTAAGTCTTTTTAAATTAAAATTCAAACCTAAAAATTAATATCTTAAAATGAGTGTAAATTCTAGAAAGATTGTTCATTATCTTAATGGGTCAGCTTTTTTATAGATTCTCTTTTTTTTTAAATTATGCCCTTTTTGGTATAAGGGAACAATTTTTTGATAGAAATGGAGGTGAAAGTTAGATAACAAATATATTTGGTATGGTAATGGAAGTGAAATAAAATAAGTTTCATGACTTTTGATGGGATTGAATTCTTTAAAAAATTGAATTCTTATGTACCAAACAAGTAAATTTTGAAGTTTTACTTTTGCTTTTACTTCTCTAGTTTCAATTTCAACGTATTAAAGGAGGCACTGGTTGAGGGAGATTTAAGAAAATAGGGAAGCCGTGTGAATTTGGACCTTCATTCTTCAATCTCCTTTGATCTTGCATCGTGAGCGAAGTATTATTAAATCTTGTGTCTTGTCCTAATTTCTCATATAGTTATCAACCAAATCTTAAACTGAGGTGTTTATTAGAATCAATCCGCATAACTAACTCATGTGTTGCCCTAAATTTTTTTAAAAGTATTTTATAATTTAAAAAGGAGGGAGTACTAAAAATCTAATAGATCCCTTTTGAATAAATTCATTTCTCCATTACATCCGAGGACCTAAACGATATTTGATTGTACCTAGATCATTTTTAAAAAATAAATAAATAAATCAGCCTTGAGCGCAAGCAGAGTCCAAAACCTAACTACATGGGTTAAGCACGTGACCCCCATTAAATTTGTCATTCAAATACACTGCGGGTCAGTAATCAAACGGTATAGCCACATAGAGTTCCCTAATGTCAGTAGGCTTAATGTTTTATTACCACCTTTTTTAAATAAAAATTATCACACTTTTCAAATGACAACTAAAAAAATCAAACTCATCAGCCTTGTAATTTGCAACATATATCGACGCACTCTGAGCTAGACTTAAAAACCGAAATATGTAAACCTATTTTATGAACAAACTTCAAATATATACTATTCAACAATGAAGTCAAAATTTTTCAGGTCAGAAAGAAAATAATAAACAGTGACTCCATATGCGAACATGAAAAGCAGCAAAGTCGCGATATCTAATTTAATTAATTTAGCAGGCGATGATTTACATATTATACACACGTTAAATGTACGTATACACGATCCCATCTCATCTGTAATGTAAAATCTGTATAGTGTATACAATCCTGATAGTATGATACACACACTTGAATACATTTGATTCCCCATCCTGTTGAGCAAATAAATCCAATTGTGATTGACATGGAAAATTACTGTAGAAGCATAATAAATACGCGTAGAGAGATGCAGATAGGAGGTTCTGCTTTATGCGGCTTCACCAGTATCATTTGGGATCCAAACAGAATCAAGGTTGGGTTTCCCTCGGATCTGGCGAGTGAAGAACGAGTTCCAGTACCAATTAGACACACAGACGCGTCTGAACTGTGGGGGCCTTTCTGGAGTTACCGGGTCTGGCCATGGCAGTATCATTCCATACGTTCTGCCGCTGAAGAATGTGGCCATCGACTTATGATATCAGCTGGCTTTAGCAAGTCCACTATTGGTGGATCCAGGTTTAGCCCAAACCCAAGCGTACATTGTTAAATGGAGCTTTTCTAGATATTAATAAGAAGCTTGGATTCTTGAGTGCAATATTCCCATTCTCTTTATTATGGTGTGTGGGAACAGTTTTCACATAGATGCATGATTGAAAATCTACCCAATACATGTATGGGAGTTAAAATATCTCCCTTACTAAATCCAATTAATACTCACATATCTAAGGTAAGTAAGAGAATAACTTAAATAAGATTACCAAGTTTGTAACTTATAAAAATAAGATTCCAAATTTTCATGGTTTGAAATAAATTAAAATAATTTATTAAAATTTCAATCAGAGTAAAATAATATTTCAAAAGCATAAGATACCTCAAAAGAGTGAAATAAATTGAAAACAGTTGAAAAGTATAAAAAATTGAAAATCAAAGCAATGCGCCGCGGCATGTGCAAATGCACCACATTGGCTTCTTCTCTATGCCACACGCAATGATGTGTTACATGTTATCAGACAGCATGTCTATTGTCATTTGACAGCATATCTGGGCAACTTTCAACATACCTCATTTCTCCATTTGACATTCGAATGAGATGATCTTTCTACAGAAAGCTCTTTTTATAAACTAACAAATGACATGGGTTTTACTTCTAAATTAAGTCACACAAGGAAGTTAGACACCTAAACACATTTTCAACTATTTTCACAATTTTCACAACTTAAAGGTGTCCAAAACTCTATACAAGTGCCAAAATATCATCCTTAAAACCCAGACCATACTCAAAAGATTTCGGACTACCTATACAATACATCACATACACAATTATATCACAATATTAAATTTTTACTTCTCAATCCCTTTAATACCAAAACTAAAAAGGAAAGGTTTTATCATTGCATAATCTAATCAACATCCATCGTTAGAATCAAATTAACAATCATATACTTGCACTAGTATTTTAACTTTATTAAAAACTTGAACAACTTACAAACAACAACCCAAGACCTAAAATACCAAAAATTATAAACGTCAAAAGTGCAAGTGTATGCAAAATATAACCTAATTGGCAATAAATTTATTTATTACACAATATAAATGAAGTAAGGAGGCATTATGATAGGAATATTCATATTTCTAAGTCTCCAAAACCTTTTTCCTTTTCACACCAGAGCTAGAGCTTATAAAATATTGAAATAGAGGGGTGAGTCTAACCACTCAGTAACCAAGATATACCTACCCTATACAGTTGTATACCAATTGAATAAACACACATAAAATGGAGTTGATTTTCTCAAAATATATGCACTATTACATGTAACACAAGATATCATTTCTCAATTTAACTCATTTTCATAATTATCATCTTGAATCACTCGACACACTACTACAAGATACACAGACATGTGACAATAATTCAATCTATTATCACAACTTACCACAAATTTAAACAACTATGTGACATGTTAGATAAACACATATGCATAACTAAACCATCCTTATATCCTCCTTATTTCTTTCAACTGAAACTATAGGTTATAATATTAAATAAGGCTTCGTCTATGTGATTGGACTATTCAAGTTCACCAATTGTGAGATGTGACTCAACTAAAGATCACAAAACTCACTCTTGAACCATGGTTTCCCCCATTCTCAAATCTTTAGAGTGTCGCATACCCTAAGCTAATCTCCTTGATAAGCAGATGGAGATAACTAGGTTATAGTCCCTCGATAAACTATGAGACAGTTCATCAACAAACAGTAAGACAAGGCTTAGCTTTAGTGCACCAGAAGGCAGCTATAAATACCATATAAATTTTATCTATTTCTCTTCCTATGCGAACTCTCACCAAATGATCATGCATTATACAATACTCACTAATTTCACAACTTCATTTATTCAAAATCAACGTATTGAGCTTACAATATTGCGCTACCTAAGTGAGCATCAATATCCCATTCACAAATATTCTCCTTTTCAAATATACATTCCATAACACAATTCTAAATTCCTATTTAGCCATAAGTATAGTCCTTACATGTTAACACAAGTATATGACCATCATCCCACCTAAAATAAATATCTCATTTTAATATGCATTCATAGTTTTGAAACTCATTTTGAATTTAACTCCACATTTCAAGTCAAACACAATTATGCATATTTATAATTTATTCAATCATCAAAGTTTAGGGCATGCTTACATATTCACAGTTCAACCATACATGCAAACATGTACATTTTTACATTAAAAACTCAATTAACAAACAACTACCCAAAACAGGGTTCTCCTTGATTATCTCAAACCTTTAAAAGGTTAAAAGTTTACCCCAATACAGGCTTCCAAGCTTTCTTTCCCAAGCCAAAATGGTGTTCAAATGATTAATCTACAATTAATCAAGTTTGAATTTATCAACACTATTAAATGCACAATTTCAACTCTCATTTTCTACTTCTAAAACACCCAATACCCTTATTTTTCACATTAAGGCTTACTATTTGGGTTTATTAACTTTCTTTAGCTCGCAT